TGAAAGAAAGAAAATGTGTTTAACGTCTGTTTCAGTGAAATGGAAAAAGTTAATTTCAAATCTTTTCATTTTCACCCCCTTACTTCTTAAAATAACAACCAGCATTCATATTTATGATTGTTACTGCAATAAGTTGTTAAGCTCAAATATTTAACGATGTGATAAGGAGAATTCTACGGATATTTTCTTGTCATAGAACTCGCCATGAGCTAATTAAGTCTTTAACTGAAGAATTTAAATTCATCAGAAAATTTAAATACGAAAATCATAAAATTTTCAAGGGTATGTCTAGAATTTCATAATTCTCAGTAGATTAATTACATTATTTTCTAACTCCTGACAATGTTTTTCCTTCATTGTAAAATAATTTACAGTATATTTCTATATTAAATTTATATTTAATATACTTACAATGACCCTATTCTGTCAGAAATGTTTACATTAACTCCTGGTCTCTTACGGACTCGTTTTTCTGAATTTTAGTGCGTTTCAAGAGTAAAGTAATTTATATATTTCAATAGTAAATGCGTATTTATAACCCTATTTTATCAGACTTTCTTGCATTAATCTCTGATCACTGGCAATTCCTTTCTTTTTTTAATTTTAAGGTACATATTAAAGAGTGAGTGTTGAACTTTTGTAAATATGATTATAAAATAAATGGTAGAATTAGACTGTGATACTCTGGACAGCCATGTAGAAAAGAAGATGTGGTTTTATCTTGGGCTCGAGGGTTTCTACTTACTAACCAGAAGGTGTTCCTTTTTAGAGTCTAGTTTTCTAAGCAGCATCCACTGTGACCAAAGGGGAATGTGAAGTAAAGGAGTGGATAAGGGGTTTCTGAAGATCAAGTGGCAACAAAACCAGAAATAGGGTATATCCGGACGCTGGTCAATATTAACAGTTACGTTTGGGTGAATTGTGATCCGCCCTTGTCTGTTGTGTGGTTCCTGTGCCGTTCATTCATACTGCGAACCACACGTCGGAGTGTGTCTATGGACGAAGGGTTGGTAGGTGGAAGATCTGACATAGCAGAATTTGTCCCAAGTATCATCTACCTACCTACCTACCTACCCGGTCGAGCGGTTGAAACCCCAAATAAAACAACTATATTTAATATAGGAAACGGAGTTCGCCTTCTTATTTCTCGACGTGGCATTTGTCTTTCATTTTCAGCGTGCAGCGCGCCCTTTCCCAGTTTTAGGCGCACACCGACCAGATCCAAAATAGAAATGCAACGTTGGGTAATCATTGGCCGATCGGTGGAAAGCTTCGGTGACGGTCGAATTGTATTATGTACAGCGCCTTTAATCATTAAATTCTTTTTTCTCTACCGTTAGAAATATTAGGCTTTATTAATGAAAAAAGCCAATCAATGCGGAAAATGGTTGAGGCAAGTCACGCTGGAATCAATGGGTAGTAATAGGAGAAGCCTAAATCTTGCTTAAATAATTCTGAGTTCAAATTTTCATCAACGACCTTCCTGGTGTCGTCTGTTCTCAACTCGGTTTCTATGCTGATAACAATTATTTATTCCTGCCTTAATAGAAGACTAATCAGCCCGAGAAGTTCCAATTAACAACTGATCTCGAAAAATGACTTACAATCTGTTGTTAACTGGGACAAAGAATAGCTTGTCAATTTCAAAGCCTCCAAAACGAAATTGCCTCTTTGTAATCATCTTAGAGAACCCTTTTGCCTTCCATAACTGATGCTAACCTCCAAGAGAGTGATTAATTACCCCTTCTCTGACTAACATTTTCCGCTAACATAAAGTGGAAAGATTGCTAAATTGCTAGGTCTTCTGCTAGCAACGTTGGTTCCTTGTGTCATGCTAGACATTTTTTCCTCGTTAGAATCTATCTTGCATATTTATAACTCTACCATTCATCCATTCTTAGAATATTGCTGCCACATATGCTCTGGTGCTTTTGCAATATATTTAGCGATCCTTGATAAAACCCAAAGGAGAATGTGCAATTTCATTGGTCCTGACGGCCTCAATCACTTTCCCACCGCCATAATATAGCTTCGTTGCGCCTTTTCTATAAATACTTTCATGGTAATTTTTCTGATGAACTTCCCTTTATAGTACTTAGAATCTATGAATTTAAACGTACTACTAGATTGGCAGCAAGTGTCCATCATTGTCCAGTTGAAATGGCTAGATGTAATCGTAAGTTCTACGCTAACAGTTTATTTTCTCGCACTTTTCGCTTCTGGAACTCTCTTCTTGCTTTTCAGTCAAGTTTGAACTTCAAAAATTTAATATGCAATGTCAAGCGTTATCTTCTGTTTTCTTAATTCCTGTTCTTTTATTATTATCTCTTCTTAATAGTTTTCTTTTTTCATATTCTCTCACACCCCTTGCGTCTTCATGCTTTATTGCCTAGCGTGGGTGAAATGATTAAAAATGCAGTCTTCATTATTTCAGTTTTTACCTTTAAAAATTTGATTTATCACTTGATGTGTGTAACCATTACAATGAATGAAAATTTTGACGCATATTAATAAATTCGACCCCATCATATCATGGGATATATAAGTAAAAGCTATCCATCAAAACTTTCCATATATATCTTTCTTACTAATATTTATTTTTAATCAATTCACCCTAAGCAAGGCGATAATGTCTCTAAGGTTCAAGGCGCTACTAGGAGTGAAAGAGAATGAAATAAAACTAGTAAGAATCAGAAACCCAGTCCTAAACTGGAAACAAGGAATAAACCTCTACTCCTGTTCAAAAGACCGGAGAGGAGCATGAACCGGGCGATAGGTGAACGTATCTACTCTAAAGGATTTATTTTTATTTGGTAAAAACTATCTACGAAAAAAACAGTTCAAACAAATGTTTGAGGTAATGTTTAATTTATAAGGCCGAGGGCACATAACAAAGACAGACGATACGAGCCAAGTTTTAAAAAATGCAGACGATAAATTTATTAATACACAAGAAGAATTACACAAATTAAGCGTTTTGTGTACCAAATGATGGCCAGTAACATTTATGTATAAATAAACACTGCAAATAAAATATACCTTCTCTTTTACAATAAAAATTATTATGCTGCATAAGATCCCCAGAAAAGGTAAACAACATAAAAAATAAATGAAAAAAGGTGAAAAAGTACTTCTATGAATAATTATCAAAGAATAGTTACAATGTTCGAAGCAAAGTTCATGATAACAGTGAAGAACAGAACAGTCAGATCCGTCGAAAAATTCCTTGACTTTGATGTTCCTTTCAAATTCTAGTCTGGTGGTCGTCAGATTTCTTCTGTGTTGTTTGTTCCTTGACCGGGCCAACCTGGGTTCCTGCAGCAGTTGTTCGTCGATTCCACGAATTCAAGTCTCTTCTTTGCTTTTATTCACCAAGATAGGCTCCATATTTGCTTTTCGGAATTTGGGGGGAAACCTCTTGATTAGTTCCGAGTGAAAAACAAACGCAGTTATTTTCCCCACAAATCGGAATGTTCCAAAAATATTTTTGAAATTCAAAAGTTTAAGCAAGAGCCTAACACAGTGTTCGTTTAATCTCAGAAAAGCAGACGATACACACTCAAGTAGCTTAAATTTCTATTAAAATCAATAAAAGAAAAGCATTCCTCAAAAGGCCTATCTTTAGAGTTTGAACGCAAGAATTAATAGCAAAATATCACCAAAATGTTTCCCCTATTCGCATTTATTTTCAGGTTATAACAAATTTTAATAAAAAACTCATCTGATCTTTCCATTATATAATTTCTTTCTCGTTCATTTAAGCTGATACATAATGAGCAACAGCGTCTGTAATATGACGTTCAAGGAGGAATTCCTCGTTATAAGAATTTTTGCTCTTAAAATTTGAACAATTGTAATTTCTAATATCTTGCTATAAAGCCGTTTCTCTAAGAATTATTTCTGAAGATATTCAGAATATTTTCAATTGCTTTCTTTCAATTTGGTCAAGTGACATTTTTTTCACGCGCGCTTTCTTTTAAATATCTTAAAATTATTGTGTCATCTTACAAAATTATGCGCGCAATAATTTAATTCTGACGAAAAAAAAAACTACATTAGTGAATCGATTTTTCTTGATAATTTGTTATTAATTTGTCCTTTTTGTTGTTCTTCATCTCAAAATGGTCGGTTTTCGTTCAACCAAAATCTTTACGGCATGCGTCTTGCCTTTTGAATATTCTCATGTATATTACACCCGCATATTTCTCAAATTATTTCAAGGTTTCTCAAACTGGGTACCAGCGCTTTTGGGGGTGAGCGAGCTTCACATAGGGTTGGCGAAGCAGAGATAGGCAATAGAGAACGATGGCGATACAGAAAAATGCGCTATTTGAAATGATTACTACTTTCATTTTCATTTTGGTAGAAGGTTTTAGTGCAGTCTTCGTCTTTTAACATGCATTTAGACATATTTTTTATTAATGTTAACCCTATACAAGGCCTAAGGGCCGTTCAAGGTAGAGAGTCATGGAAGGCGGTTATTGCGTGAGCGGTAAAAATAAGCGGCGCAGTTTATATGGATATAAGGGAAATTACGGTTAAGCATCACCCGACGTCTGAAGGGATTTGAGCAATTTTTTCTATGGTATTCTTGAAAAACCCGCATTAAACTACAACCTCTCGCGGATAAATACCTACCTCTCTTTCGGTAGGGTGAAATGGTTAATGCCTGGCATCTAAAGCATCCTCAAAGGAGCTGCGCCGAGGAGGCTTGAGTAACTTTTGATTCATGGCCCCAAATAGATTGGTTCGTTTTTTACGATTTATCAACCTTTTTCAGGTTATTTAAAGCCGGAAAATGTTTTTAGATTGGAGATGATAATGCTTTACTGATAAAACTGCTACTAATTAACCCATAGCTTGGGGAGAAGGTGCATTTATACCATTTTCCTTCTGTATATGCACACGTGAATATAATCAATCCAACTGGAATTGGAACTCGGTCCTCCGATTTCCAAATCTACGCTATTATACATTACACCACCAGAACATACAAGCTTACTTGGTATTCCAAAATGGTCACACATCTATGTACTAACTCGGCTCGAAGTTGCTTAACTTCGATGATCGTAAGAGAACAGGTGCTTCAACGAGATATGTCCATAAGCCGGTCCAAGATAGAAGAGAAAACTTCATTTCATCAGGTGTCATTTGTTTTATCTTTAGTTTAGAATCAACACTTTTACCTCAATTAGCGATCCTAAAGATTACTTTTTAACTAACAGATTGAGAAGAAACTTCATGGATGAATGGTAGTCTTATAAATATGTAAGATAGATTCTGACAAGAAGAACAGTCTAGCACAGCACAGAGAAGCAACTTTCCTAAAAGCAGGACTAGCAATTGATTCAAAGTCATCGGAAAAAGTTATACCAAGAAGGCGCAACCAGTCACTGGATGTTAGCATCAGCCATGTTGATGGATGCCAGAATCGGTTCTCCCAGACGATTAAAAGAGAGCAGGTTCGTTTTGGAAATGCCAATCTAGTGCAATAAACCTACTGCAGAAACACAAACAAAATGAAGCGTACAATGAAAGTTTGGAAGACAAGCGTCTACAATGTTCTTAAATTTGACAAAGCAACCCTTTGATAGTTCGAGTAAAAGTACTTCTAACTAGAACAGGGATTCACAAACTTTTTTGACCATCGACCATTATAGATTGAAAGAATTTTTTGGAGATAATGTTTTACTGATAAAAGTTCTACTAATTAACCCATAGCTGGGGGGGAAAGAGGTGCATTTATACCATTTCCCTTGTGTATTTGCGCATAAGTGAATATAACAAGCTCTACAATTTGACAAAGCAACCATTTGATAGTTCGAGTAAAAAATACTTCTGACTAGTACAGGGATCCCCAACATTTTTAGGCCATCGATCATTTCATGGCATGTAAAAGAATATCAATAATAATTATGTTTTATTTAAATGTAGAAATTACTTTGCTTTTTCTTTCATTATTATTTCTCGATTAAATTAATTTTAGCTTTACGTCTTGTTATTCATATTTTTTCAATTACCAATTCCCTTCATTTACACAATAGACAGTGAAATACATTCTAGATAATTGTGGAAGTATAAACGCAGTTCGAACACAATATTATCAAGTAAACAAAAAAAGAACTCTTCAATAAAGTCAATCTATCACAAATAATCCAGTTCCTGAAAGAAGCCAGATTTGACAAGAAAATATAATCTCAAAATCTTAAACATATTTCCCTACACTACCTGTAAAATTTTCTACCCAAACTGTGGCTTAACTCCTAAAGTTAAATTACTTTTCTTTTCTTCTGAATCATATTCCAATCCATGATTTCTAATACTAAATAATTCTGGCATTAAATGACTCACATAGCATTTGATATGCCAATAAACCAAACGAAACGAAACCAAACTTCCTTTACTAGACGTGTTTGTTGTTGTTATTTCTGTTATAAGAAATAAACTTAAATAATATAATAAATAACATTCGAAACGAATTAATCTACCTTTTCAACGAATCGCTTAACGTCATTGATGAGAAGGATGAGTAATAGCAAGAGCATTGATATTTGGTTGGAAATTGGCGAGTTTTAGTCGTAAGTCACCACGATTTATTTATCGACTCCCTTTTGACCCCACCGGCATTTATCGACACCCTGGATAGACTCATCGACCCACAGGGGTCGATATCGACCTATTTTGGGAACCTTTGGACGAGAATATCTATCGGTGAGTCACTTTAGGATAGCTAAAATGAACACTGAGAAATGTCTATAAGATCAGGGGAAACTGATTCAAGCCAGTCAATCGGACTTTGGAAAAGGATATATCGACAAGTTTCATGCAGCTTATCCCGATAAGTGATAAGTAAAAACTTACTTTAGGGTCAGGGATTAAGGGTCCGATTTAGTTTTTTTTCTCCATTTTTTACTTTCATTGATATAACGAGCAAACTCGTGATAAAACAATTATCTGGCACGGTGACTGAGTTGCAAAATCGAAAACTTTCATATCTTATATTTTTATCGTTTTATTTTCCCCTACCAAGTTTTTTTATCATTTCACCCCAAGCAAGGCGATGATGCCACTAAGACGTAAACAGTTACTGTGAAAAAGAATGAAAAAGATTTAATGAAGAGAAAAGACAATAAAAGGAGAGGTTTCAGGAAGACAAAAGATTGCGATTGACGTTGCATTTCATTTTTTTCGAAGATTGTAGGTGGTAGAGAAACAAGAAAGCGGAATAAGTTATAAAAATGTTCCTGGCACACAGTAGGGTTTACTAAATATATGTTAGCGGCCTTTGTAGTATCTACGGAAACACACACATATTTACCCAAACATACAAAAAAAAAGACGTGAAATTAAATGAATTTTATAGAAAGAGAATAGACCAACAAAGTGTAGAAATGTGTGAAATGCTTTTTCTTCGACCCCGAAACGGAAAGCTGGGGAATATTACAAAAATCTGATTTGACTCATAGCTCCAACACGTCATATTGCAAGAGACTGTGTTATATCCTCATGTCAGGAAAGCATCTTTTCTTTGCGGAATCTAACTCAGAACGGCGGGGTTAGTGTATTGTACAAGTTGGTAAAAGTTCAGAAGAGATTTCAGAGTTCGTACTTGCGTGAATGCTGATAATGGTCTTTAACGTCTGATCGGAAAGGCTAAGACGGGAGTTCTTGAAGATTACATCTTGGTACTTGGTAGCAAGGAATGAAACGCGAGAGAGAGTTTACACGTGTTCTGTTTTTATAATTTTGTTGTACCACGTGACAGTTTCAAATGGAGAACGCGGGAAAACAGATTTGTCGCGTGCAGGCGGTTTGATTGGTCGGAACTGACCAATCATCAAGCTAGATTGAAGGTGATTAACCAATGAATGCTTGTTATATATTTGTAAGATGGTGATGATGAAAATTACAACAGGAATAGTGCATTTCCTAGCAGGGGTTAACTGACTTGTTCTGGAAGATTCCACAAGAGTAATTATTCCTGACTTTTTTTTTTTTTTTAAATAAGCTCTGCTAGGAGTTATTCGAGCGAATAAGTCTCAAACTTCAAGAGATTGCTATGATGGAAAAAAGTATTTTCATTGACTTTGTTCATTGTATAAAAAAAAAACTAATACGTTTACCTTGGTTCTGTTCAGCAGATTTACGTGTCAGTCAGTGTGTTTACTCAAAAAATATTCCTTTTGCTAAATGCGCCTAACCAAAATCTATCTACCTTTTTATCTGCGTTCATTCATTCTATTTTCTTTATCTGCTTTTCTTTTCTACTGTTTTCTTCGTTTCTTTCGTTTTTAATCGTTTCACTGTGTAGGTGTGTCTCTATTTTTATTTATTTCATTATTTGTTTCTACTCAGTCACTACATTTTTTCCTTTCCTTCTCTTTCTTTCTCTTGATTTCACTTCCTCTTCATTTTTCGATTTATGTACTGTTTCTCTCTTTCTCTCTCGTTCTAGTTTTCTTTTCATTCATTTTTATATATTTCATTTCTTTCGTCACTTTTCTTTCAATTTTTTTTTATTCGATACTTTTTTGCTTCTTTCATTTTCTCAATCTCTCTTTTTCCTTTTTCCGTTTCTTCTAAAAAGCCACCCATTCACTCTCCTGTGTTCCTTTCTCTTCTCTTTCTTTTAATGCCTCTCTTTTTCTTTTTCTTTTTCTTTTTTTTTTCCACGTTACATTGCCACTTACTTCTCCAACTCACACGTCAATTCACAAATGTGTAAAACTCAGACAGCTAACATAGAAACATGCGTGCAAATGTCCCAAACCTAACCCGTTATCACTCGCACAAAATCAAAATGTAATTCGTGGTTAGTTCTTCAGTGTCGGTATATCTACATGATACGGCACGCAATTCAAGGACGTATTTTATAGTGAATCATTCATAAATTGCCCAACTCTTTCGACTATCATCACAAATATTAGTGAGTATCCCTTTCCTTACTCCAAATCCTGGAACCACAACAGATTTACCGAACAAGCAATCGACCCCATGCTGCAATTGGTTTTTTTAATCCACTGTGCCATGTGTCCTCAAGGACACATGGAACAGAGGATAAAGGCGTTGATTAGATCCAGTGACAGGACCCAAAGAGTGTGAGTTCAATACCCGGTTAAGGCAGTGGAGAACTTTCAGAGGGAAATTAACAGGAGATAACTGATAACTGACATCCATTAAAACATGGCACGTGGAAGTAGAACAGTCTACCTCAGTGAGCGAAATAAAGGGTTAAGTTCGACATTGCAACCACCTGAAGAAGGCCGGAGCGTACAACGGCCGAAACGTTGTAATAAATATGGCGACAAAGATGAGGACAATAGTCCCATTAATGTACATAATACCTCATCTCAGAAATATAGACAGATATTGGTTTTTTGTTCATTTTTTTTTTCAGAGCGTGGTTTGTTGGTTTGGTTTGGTTTGGTTTGGTTTGGTTTGGTTTACGGCATATAAACATCAATGGGTCATTTAATGCTGGCAACATTTTTTTTTCCTGGTAATATTTTTGTTTTGTCAAAAATCTATTTTTGTTTATATTTTTTTCCTCAAAAATGTATAGCTGGTAACATTTTTCCAAAAACGTATAGCTGAAAATTTATTTACAAAGTATCTCTGGTATTAAAACCTATTTTTACACTTTTATAATGCTTTTTACCACAGTTTCGGGGTTAACTATTTGCCCATATCTGGGACCCTAACAGGCGCTACCACCCCGGGTCAGGGTGGACCTGGGAATACTAGCAATTAAGAGGTGGTTCCATGCTCCCCCAAACCTCCTGATCAGAGGCCTTGCTGTTGAACATAGTTTATCGTCATACTCAGGACGCAAGATGGTTTGTTGGTGTTGATCGAAAGTGTTATGGTCGGGGTATTCTCCCAAAGAGATGAAATTGGCTAAAGATCCATACTAACGCTCCGAAGATAACAGTAGTCACTCTTTGACAAAAGAAGCTACGTTTATTGGTTCGACAGCACTTCCGAGGGGCGGCAGTCCATGTGACAATGGTGTTCGAGGTGGCAACCGACAGACATTCTGTACAGCCCGGTGACCCTCCCCTTTTCTTTCTCGGTGGTCACACTGCCTAAACAATACACATTT